TGAAGGGAAATATATAAATCAGTGATTGTATGGATGGAGTGGTGTAATTCTGCATTAAGAGGCAGTTTAAGTATGATTTAGGAGCAGATATGCTTCCTGCAGAGTCTTGGCACAAGGATGAACCACATTTTAGTAATCTAGCTGAAGGATAATTTTAAAGCAAAAGCTTTAAGCAAAAGCCTGTTCCTTGGTGCCACAGCTCGTTGTGTCATGTTCTCTTACTTACACATGTGCATTAAACATGACATCACTCCACAGTGTTTTCCCTATTGATATTAAGGAAAACTAAAAGCCTTCAGTAAAAAAAGAACAGGACTGAGCCAGGGGCTGCATCTGTCGGGTGTCTGGTCACAGACAGGCACCTGCTAAATGAACTGGGTTAGCCTGTCACTCCCGTGCTGAGGGCTGGAGGAAAGAAGGATGGGCAAAAAACTATCACAGCACATCTTTGTATTTTATCAAACTGCAGCAATGTAATGTAATATAGACCTGTGTAGTTAGAGTGTAGGTACTACAGTGTTCACACCTGGTTAGCTGTTCCTGTGCCTGAAGAGGGATACTGGAATACTTCTATGGCTGTGTAGTTATATCGATGGCATTTCTTCCACTACTGTCACACAGACACTGAGACACCCAGCCAGCCAACAGACCAAGCAGTATCAGGGCATGGCACAGGTCTAGCTTAGATCTGAAATTGCAGACCCTTCTGCAAAATGATGGTTTTTGTGTGCATGTGCCTGCTCCCAGGCTGCCTCCCAGGTATACTCCAGCAGTATAACATCATCATATGCAGGCAGTTAAGTCATGGATCCAACTCTAGCTGCTCCATAAATGCAGTAAAAAGACAGACTCATTTTCAAAAACTGTTTTGCAAAGTCGAAGATGAGAGACAGGTGATAGGGAAGTCCTAGCACCAGGCAGCTGGTCTCTCTTTTATACCAGGAGGCTTGTGATGACTCAAATCTGCTAGATTTTCAGATCCATCAGGCAGTATGTAGCTGCAAAAGTAAGCAGTGGGCCATGTGAGTGGGAGCTGGGATCCTGAGGGGAACAGTGAGGAAGTGACATACTTAGTTAAAAGGAAAAAATGTTCTCTGGAGATGGTAGGCCATTGGTGGCCAGTGAATCAAAACTACATTGGTATTTTACCAAAGTTTCAGGCCAGTGACTTTCATTCTTGTTTCTGACTTATTATCACCTATAAATATTTTCCTGTGGAAGTGCTGAGCCCTGAATGGTAAATTAACTTGTAATACAAAAAGTAAACTTCTCTGTACTGACTTGTTATCTTCCTCAGCTTTTTACAGGCCTTTTAGAAGAATTTCACAGACACCCCAGTGTCTTCAGAAGTACTGCATGTAGCCTAATGGGTGAGGATGTTCCCCAACAGACACCTAAGGAAAACCTCATCTCTTACCCCTGCCCACCACCCTGCATGCTGTGCCAGCATCCCCTGGGGAGCAGAAACACCAGGTCTCTCCTCAAACAAAAGCGTGGGAGATTCACTGCCAGAATCAGTCCAGGAGCTGATGCAAAAGGCAATATGTGCAGACCCACACAGACCTCCATCCCCAGTGCCTGGCATAGTGTATTAACACCACCTGAGCAGACCTCTTCTGTCAGTGTGCCCTTCCAGGGACTTGGCACAGCACGTTCTCTGTCATGGGCTCCTAAAGCACAGCTGCAGGAGGCTGGGAGGCACCTGGCTGATTGGTGATGAAAATGTGTGTCAGGAGTGATACAGCTCTAGTACCTTCCTATTTGGAAAGGCAGAGCTGGACTAACTGATCTCTGGAGGACTTTTCCCGGACTGACCTGCCAAGGGTCAGGGAAAGGGACTTGACACCCCAGCACTGGGAGGGAGATCACAAGCAGAGGGAAAGGCGGGAAGGAAACTTTGAACAGAGATGCGATGGGAAAAGGGACGCGAGGGCTTGGCAGGAGGGGCACAAATTGCTCCCCAGCGGAGCCGCAGCCCCGTTCCCGCCCCGCAGCGATGCGGAGCCGGACGGGCGCCCAGCGGGGGGCGCTGTGGGGCAG